AGCATGCATATAGCCCAATCCCTCCGTCATTTGAATTGCGCTGGATTCGCCCCAACAATGAGCAGATTCAGGTGTTTGTTGTTTGGGGCAAAGGATTCAAAACGACGCATTTTCCATTGACCCTTTGTTTCATCAAGGCAAACGAAAGTGTGATTTCCCATGAAATTTACATGGCTAAAACAAACATGGTTCGTCTGATCGTGAAGGCTTGATTTCCACTGGTCTTCTATGGGAGCCTCAGGAGAGACCCACTGGAACAAAGAGGAAACTGTACTACTTCGTTTTGGCCTCAGCTGCACCGTGTTGGCCGCAACGTGGTTCAATGGTTTGATGTTCTGCCATTTTCATGGGGATTAGCCCTCAGATTCACGAGTCAAACTGGGTAAGCTTTTAGCCAACGCCAATGCCATGTCAATGGTGGTGTGTTTGGGGTTGAAATCCTCAGGAAACAAGGCTTCGAACTGCTGCATATGTGTATGACGTATTTTTTAATAAAAAGACTGCACATTTTCATCATGATGATATTACAATGATGATACCATCTGGTTATTTAACATAGCTATGGACAATCCCTTATAAATAGAGGGTTTTAATGGGAAAATCATTTGTAAATGGGCCATTTTCCATAGCTACGTTCAATACCCAGAGGGTAATGATGTCATTTCCATAACATGTGGCAACGACATGAGCTGAGGAACTGCCGCTGGTGAAGGGTGCCTTGGTCAATAAGTTGCTACAGAATAAATACATGGACGGATGTTTGATGTTGGATGATGTTGGATAGCTTTAGACAGATCAATTGTGATCAATTTATAACATTTTATAACTGCGATTTCTACGATCTCAGAATATCTCATACTTTTGTTTGGGTACCTGAACTTTTCGGGAACGTTTGATGGCACCATGAGGAAAAGTTTGGGGTGACTACAGCCGCGACGAGCCGAAGGAGACAGGAACCATCCTGAAAGGTGGGCAGTTTTTTAACTGGCGCCACACGGGGATTTCACAGCGGAATTTCATTCCCATTTATGGTGATTAATGATGATTAATGATGGTTAATGATGGTTAATTCATAATGACTGATGATGGTTAATGATGTTTAATAATGGTGATTAATGGTGATTAATGGTAATGTGGGAAACACAATGCCATAAACCAGCCATTTATTATGATAAAGTTTATAGCATCTATTGTGATGACTGGGGGATGGTTAATGACATTGTTTTACCCACATGACCATTGTTTTTGTTCTCCAAAGTTGTCGACGGTTTTCGTGTAAACAAAACGGGGAATGAGATGGAGTGATGGGACATCATGGACATCCATTAATCACCATTATCCTCTGGTAATTTAACATAACTATGGAAAATCACCATTTTCAATGGGAAAATCCACTATAAATGGCCATTTTCAATAGCTATGTTAGTTTACCAGAGGGTATAATGGCTGGTTTATCATAATGTTTATGGCTGGTTTATGGTCACTTGCTTTCCCACATCTCCAATATCCATCTGAGGTCGATTTACACAGCCTGATCCATGGCAGGGCCCCATGAAATTTCGCATCGAATGGTACCTGAAAATGGGTGGACTCTGGTAATGTAAATATCATGGAAAATATCATGGAATGTCATATCATGCTATATACTGAAAATATCTGAACATATTTTGATATGCTGTGAATATCATGGAAGAATTGTCACTCATATTATCACCATTTTTAAGCTCGATCAATCATCGATGAGGGCCATGGCTACCCCCAATTCCAGCTGGCGAAAGGTCTGGAGTTCCTGAGCCGATGATAAAAATCAGTTTCCCAGTGGGTCATCATTTGGAATCTATTGGGAATATCTATAACATTCTATAACCTCACTTTCACAAAAATATACATATTTTACAGATCCTTTTAGTACATTTAGCCATTTTTATGGCTTAAGGGACATGGTGCTTGTCTTTCTTCAGTAACTCTTTGTCTCCCATCGACACCAGTCAAAAACTTCTGAGATATGAAATCCTAAGCCATTATTACACTGAGAAGTAAACACGGCAATTGAACAGTTTTATAGAGGAGTTTTCCACATGTTGCCATAAAAAAACACGCAATTGTACATGGCCAAGCTAGACTTTTGGATGACGTTAAGGAAGCAAGCTATTTTGCTTGACCTCCCTCACATTTGCACGCGACACACACCAATATCTACCCTCCAAAAAACGCATCCAAAAAACGAATATGTATATATATATATATTAGATTTAGATCCAGTACTAAACCAGACTTTCCAGGGAGTATTTGCCAGGCTCATTTGGCAACAAGACGGAGAACAACATTTTTCCAACGCAGGCGAGATCGGCGACGTTTTCCGACGTGGCTGACAACAGGCCACCAAGAAATCCCATGGTGTCACATTTTGTTTGACTCCAAGATGATCCACAGAGTCATCAGGAACATACTAAGTATATCTAAGTACAAGATAGGATTTAAAAACATATACAGATACATATAACTTAACATAACTTAACTATCATTATCATCTGGATTCAAAGGGTGGATGTTGTCAGTAAAGCTATGCGTGCATTTTCATCACCGCCTGCAAGATGGCTCGATATGGTCTTGACTCTTGACCTTGGTCAATTTGCATAAGTACTGTAGTAACTGTAGTATTTCCATCTTCTGTTTCTTTGCAAGTGTCCACAAACCATGATTTAGAGGCCCGATGTGAAGCTGTACCCCCTCAAACCATGTGACCAGAAGATGCTTTCACTATCTCTATATCTCTATATATATATATATCAATATGATATCATTTGGCGAAGCACCGCCATGTTCCTCAGAATGATTGGCGTTCTCCAATTGGTGTTTTCAAAAGTTCTTGATTTCCAGCCCCAAAATCCTGACAGGATTTCCCATATGGTTTCCTCTGAAAATAAGGTACCCCCTAGAAATCCACCGCTGAATGATGATTTTACCCGATAGAAATGGCATGGGTGAAATCGGAATCCAACTGGTCCCGTTGCAGGTCATTGCCGGAAAGTTGGAGGATGAGATGATCCCGTGTCTTGAGCTTTGCAAAGACCAATCTTTTTCAGCCAAAAGCTCGATCTTTTTGCGACCGCTGATTCTTTCGAATCATACTTCATTGTGCTGGACCACGTGGATATATATATATATATGTTGTATATATAGCATAGTTATGTATAGTTTCTATATACCTGATTATTATGCTATAATATGAATTGATTAAATTGCAAATTGGACTCCACGTTCACCGGATCTTTGATCAAACGCCAGAATGTGGGACCCAGGTTCATCATTTTTTTTGTACGCCAAATGATGCTCTGTTCTCGCTGGTTGTCACTTATTTCTACATGCATTCATGCATGTATGTACATATATACACATTACAAACGGTATATGTTGAATGCATATATTGATTTACATATCTACATATTAATACATCTTATATATACATACATATCGGCATTATATATATGAGATGTTGTCAAATGCATATTGTTTAATGCACATACATTAATCGCATATATATATACATATATATACATATATATACATATATATACATATATATACATATGTATATATATATATATATACATATATCTATATATATACATATATATATATATTTAATATTTATATACAATATTATAGATATGTACATGATTGCACATATCCAGATGTATCATATATGTTTATGTATATATACACACATATTATACTGCAAATATGCATAGATGTACATCCATTACATATATATGTATTATATATGTATTATATATATATATGTACGAGTCGTAACTACCAATATCTCATAATATGTACTTAAATAATATAACTAAATATGAGTAACTTGATGTGACACACCATGTATCATGCCCAGGAGAATACGAGCTGGGAACTACACCAGCGAGACTGGAGTCATTAGTGACCTCGAAGCGGCGTAGCGGGTCGTGGGTCAAGCTGGAGAAGCCTCAAAGAGAACGTGAGGAACGAATGGTTTTACCATTGGGAACTATATAATATTATATAACTATATAACCAACCTATATACATATATATATATATATATATATATTATATATATTATATATATTATATATATTATATATATATATTATATATATATATTATATATATATTAGTATGCTATGTAGATTAGTAACAATGGAACCATTTGGTCATAACATTTTTTTTTGGTATACATATTAGTAACTTGGAACCAACGTAGAACAATATACCCAAATAAGCGAAATAATCTGTACAAATGATATGATTATGGTTGTTTAGATTCCCACATAAAAACACAATCAGGCCATGATACCTCAAGTCATGGTGAGACCAACGATTGGTAGGAGTGAACATCATGAACAAAAGTACCTGAGATATTCAACTAGCAAAACGATTCCAAAGATGGGATGTGACCCCAAGCATGGCAAGTTCATGCGAGTTCTATCCGAATTTGAGTCATCATAAACTTCCTAAAATATTCATAGTTGCAACCATTTCATACTTCCCATTGCAATTTCTATCCGAAATAGATAAATTATTCCATTCTGTTCATTTGGGATGTGAACAGCCAGCGTGAAATGGCCGGCACATTTCAGGCCCATAGAATTGCTTGCACCTACAGGTTTTGCTAAATTTGGAGCCCGAATTTCGCAAATTTTTGTCATGCGAAAGACCCCAAGCATATGCAATCTATGATATTTATGTAGTTGTGAAACAGATTCTCTACATCTGAAGAAATCACTTCATACCGACGAACGAGGTCACCAAAGAGATAGGCCCGTACTTACTGTAGATGGTGATGAATGAGTTTATGGGTTCCCAGTAGCCTCCTTTCAGAGAAACTCATCTAGGAATCTGGCATCAACATGTTGCTCAGCCAAGAGTTGCACTTAAAAACCTTACCTGCCCACCTTGGAAAAAGACTTGCCATCCACCCCAGTGTCCATCAAAGATAACAACGTTACAAAGCTGCCATGGCGAAGACGAAATCCTTAGAAGACTTGGATCTTTGGATGCAGCGTGGGTTTGTTTGAAAATGGTAAATATTCTGTTGACTTAGAATTCTTATATTTTCACCAACATTCCGGTTGATCAATATGATGTAATCATACTGTTCCTCTAAAAAATAAACATTGTTGAAATGTGCATGTTATACCCGCATTCCTGTTGGTGAAATCCTCATATGGGCACAACAAAAATGGGCTAAATCCCAATATTCTGTTGGTCAACTCCTCTATTTCATTGTTGATCAACCAAATATATCCACCATAGATTCCCATTTTTTCTAGTTCCGTACACATCAACGGAATTCTATCATTTTGGGTATGTGGGGTCCGGTGGTATTTAATAGGAGGATAGAAAATAAGCGCATCCTCCCGATATATAATTACAATTCCCCCCGCATTGTCCCCCAAAACGAATAGATCCAATACTAAAAACGGGAAAATGAATAGATCCGATACTAAACGTAGGGATATTCAGGGTTTCTTAGAGGGTCTTTAACAGGAGGATGGACCTATATTTTGTGAATCCCAAGTACTTGCAGGAGACCCACCTCCTAAATTTCATGGTAATGACATGTAATGACTATATTCTGGTTGGTGGTTTGGAACATTTGAATTTTTTTCCATCATATATGGGATGTCATCCTTCCCATTGACTACAGTATATCATATTTTTCAGGTTGAAACCACCAACCAGATAGTTTCCAGTGAAGCTTTGCCCTTGAACCCCGGCAAGGATCTCTGGTTGATCTTGGGCTCGCCCCGTGGACGTCTCCGGAACGCCTTGAGCCGCGCCTTGCGCGAGTTCGAAGCCGAAAAGCCGCTGAGTGCCATGGAAATCTATGGGATTTTGGAGGGATTGATGGGTCTACATGGACAGCTGGTTCTAAGGTATGCCTTAAAGAACCCAACCGCAATGGTATTTTAAAACATGGTCTGGAAAATAAGACCTTGAGTTTAGTGATTTTTTTTTAGCCCGCCATGTTCGATGACACTGGAGGGCATCCCGGGCATCAATTTCCCATGATATAAATATCCATGGATTAAATTGGATTAACCCTGGATCAATTGCTAACCATATGATATTGGCATTCACTATATCATATCCCATTCAATATCCATGAGAGTCATCAACTTATTGAAACATATCCATCATGAGTCCATTATTAATTAATCCATCATCCATTATTTAGCCATGTTTAACCCATGACTGACTAACCATGACTAACCCAATTTTTACCCTCTGGTTATGACTAACATATCCATGGTATAGATGGCCCATAGAAATAGATGATATTTTCCCAGCGAAAAACACTTCCATTTATGGTTGGGATTTTCCATGGCTATGTTAGTCATAGCCAGATGGTATATCCCATAGTCTATTAGTATATTCCATTCAACTCCTACCTTGCCCATTGTTCCATGGCTATGTTAGTCATAACCAGATGGTACCCTCTGGTAAATAAACAGTTGGACCCTGATTTTATCACCCATTTTTCATGAAAACATTCGTCTTCCAACCCCTACAGTATCTGCCAGGGTCTATGTTAATTTACCAGAGGGTAACCATTATTTTAAGCTTGGAAGATGACGTTTTTTCAGCCCTCGAGGCGTGGTGAGCCTGGAGCTCTACATCCGACCCGAGAAGGACCTGCCCAGGTGAGCTGTCCTCCTGTCATATGATGATGATATAGTGGGAATATCATATTAGGGAATATATGGGAATATATCCTCTATAAATGGTGATTCAATTGGATATTCGTGGGGATACTTCATGGTGATATATTTCATGATGACAATTCGTGGATCATGTAGGATAGATAATACTGATAATATTGGTGACAAGAAATATTTAACAGTGGTAATACTTTAAGTAACTTGATATAACCCAGATTTTGTGTCTTAGCCTCTGGTAAACCAACAGCAAAAACGCTGTGGAAATTTTCCAGTTTTGAAGTAAATCATCGAACTAGATGGACCAGTTGGATCCAGTTTGCACACTGTTATTGCATTAAAAATGGTGATTTTTCCCATTAAGAATGGTGATTTTCCCGGGGTAAAGAGTGAATAGCTGCTATGTGATGATTTTCCCATTGACGTAGAACTAGAACAAAATAAACACACAATCCTGAATTGAACCAGGCGCATATTCAATATTTACTTCTTGATATTATACAAACACACTTCATGCTTAACCACAGAATAATCTTGCTAACACGGCATGGTTTTTCTCTAGCCAGGGTTTACATTCATTGAATAACGGTCTCTACATGTTTTTCTACATATATCAAACGTGGCAATGGACTATCCTTTATAAATGGAGGCTTAATTGGAACATTTTACATTAAACGGGGGATTTCGCCATGTTTGATTACCAGAGGGTACAGTAAATATGTCGCGTTTGGCCACATCATGCTGCGCCCCGAAACCGAAGCACGCCACCATATGATGGTGGTGTATTCCCATTGGGAAATCCTGAAACTTGATGGCTATTTGAATATTAATTTAAATAGGACATTTCGGACATGTTTTCATCAATGTGATCTGGGGTCCTGATTTTTCTCGTTGAAATCCATTGCAGTCGAGGCTTGAAGGTGGTGCCTGGAATTTAGCCCATGAAGATGCCATCGATTGGACTCATCTGCAAGAGGACCTGAAGGATTTGAGCGACACAGGTGCCATGTAAAACATGGGATTTCATGGGGAAACATATGAAGCATGGGTTTGGGGGGAAACTGATTTTAAGGCAAACTGATATGTTTTATTTATCCAGGGTGTGTGTGTGTGTTTTTTTTTCCTTATGATGATTTATTGTTCATTTTCACCACAAATGCGACATGTAAATAAATAGTCAATGATATGTCAATTTGTAAGTCTTGATTTCATTGATTATGTTTCATCCTGCCTGGGATAATTGCGCTGATGCTGATGCTGCTGCTGCTGATGATGATGACGACGAAGGTAATCAGTCTGATGATTCCGAGTGACTATATGCTAATTGTCAATTTTGGATGGATTTCAAAATCAGCAATATTTTGAGGAAATTCAATAATTAATCATCGTTGACCTTCCCTATGCCACAACTGGTCGGTGGTTTCCATCGTACCTGCGATGAGAATGAAAAACAAAGCTTTGGATATGCAATGGCGGCCTCGGCAAACAACAGCAATCAATGCAACACACCATTTGTTTAAGGTCTAAAAACATGAAACAATCCTATGGATCCAAAGGGGTTATCATCACAAGATAGCAATGGGGTTATGTTGGGCTACTCGTATCTGATCGTCATCCTTCATACCCACTTTTACTCCCATAAATTTCACTGGCCAATGTGGTAAACCGGCACAGAATTTATCTATATTTGTCAGAAACCATACCCAAAGCTTAACATGTTGACCCCATATACCCTCTGGTTATTTAACATAGCTTTGGACAATGGCCCATAGAAAAATAGATGACAACAACGATTATTTATAATTTTTAAACATGGTGATGTTCCAGTATTTACCTCTAAAAGATGGTGATTTTCCATAGCAACCTGTGAAATAACCTGTTTTTCACGACATTTTTCCACGATGTTCCACCAGTTTGCTATGGAAAATCACCATTTTCCACCAGTGATCGGCTGGTTTTTTTTCTGGTTCGACAGGCGAAGTCGTGGTGATCTGCGATGATCGAGCTGCGGGCTGTCGAGCCTTACTGGAGGATGCTTCGATTTGTTTAGAGCTTGATAAGTTTGTACACAACCAGAGACTCTAGATCTCTATTATATATATATATGAAGTTACATGAAGTTACATGAAGTTACATGAAGTTACAGTAAACTTTTCGGAGGGAAGCAGAGAAGATCATAGGGGATCTCTCATTGAGATGAAGTGCACTTTATTTGTGAAAGCCACATGGATCGCCAGTAATGATGGTGGAACAATGATTTTGAATAATTAGCCGGACACCTAAGTTTTTTGTTTTTGTCAAGAAGAGCAAGAATTCTTACAAAGCCATTTTTGGGAGCTTCTGTGCTATGCGCGCATACATACATATGTAATCATATAATTACAATATCTTATATTTATATACATACATCATGCATGAGGTACGGTCAAATTAGTTTTACATCACTTTAGTAGGGAGTCCTCACTATGTGTCTGGAATCCGTGCACCGAACACTGAAAAAGCGATAGGGCCCAAGAGCGATACCTCTTCCTTTGATCTTCCCTTGGACAGATTTTGTTCCTCTATCTTCATAAGTTAAAAAACAACATGCCTATAAGTTTAATACACATATATATATATATATATAACATGATACTTTTTCAAAGCAAGGCAAATACAATAAAATCTGACGGCCGCTCACACTATATATATATATAATTATATATATAGAAATATGTATATGTATCTACTGTGTGTATTCTATGTATGTATATCAGAAAATTGCTCCTGGGTGGAAGCGGGTTAAAGAACGCCAATTCTGAAGCGAAACTTCGTTTTTCGGGGATATATCCAAAAAAAAATTCGGCTGGCTTTGTACACTGAGGCGTGCAAGCGCATGATCGTGTGCTCTTCCACTGAACTTGGTTGCTTCAAAGATTGCATTCTCAGCAGAGTGACCCTGGAAGATTACACCCGACGCGTCTCGGCGTCTCGATGGCGCTGGATGGTACTCAAAATTGGAGCGCGAAAATTCCTGTGTCCCATATCATGGGGTACACGGGTACAGTGGTGATTTTTAGCATTGGAAAAATTTCAGGGATGCACCGATCTTGGACCCAAAAAACTTGCCCCTTTTTTTGGTTTGGTAATTTTCAAAAAGGGCTTCAGAAAGGGCCACCATCAGCTCCAGGAGTAGGTCCATCACGTTTTTGCCACGCCAAATGATGTTTGAAACAAGGAAGCCTCTTGGGATGTTGATTGTTGAGGGATCATTCGTGTAACTCCGACATGGTGGATCTAGACCGACCAAACCCTGGAAAATTCCAGGGCGCTCAATACCTCGGGTTTTCCCAGGGCAATGTTCCGAGTTGAAACCACACTTCGGCAGGGAATGTTCCCAAAATGTAGTACCTGAATGGTTGGTTTCGGTCACCTGTGGCCACTGAGGGCTCCATTTTGGCCACAAACAGTTTTCTCATCGTTTCTCCAATCTTTATTGAGCGCATTTGAGAACATGTTTGGGTGTGTGGGAAAAAGCAGGTCGAACCCGTAATTATCCTGTAGGGAACCCGGAATTATCCCGCAATAACCCGTATTCCACATTGGTTCCCACACGCCCTACTTTTTTTCCAACCCATATTTATCCCGTAGGGAACCCGTAATTTTCCCATAATAACCCGTATTTTTTTATGGATTTTATGAGGTCAAAGTCACTTACTCACTTGATATGGTTTTGAAGGTTTGGGCTGCCTTTTCCAACCCAACCTTGACAGCAAAAAAGTAACATCACAAATTCAGCAGTCATGTGGCAAGTGGTGTGCACCCAAAGGGTAGGACAGTATGTGAATATATTAAAAATGGAAAAAAACAGTTCTTTCCGGAAAACCTCGGTTATCTTTGAAACCCTGGACATTTCCAGGGTTTAAGGTGGTTGGTCTTATATATATATAATATATGATTATTAATATATATATATAATACACATATTTTTTTGGGGAGATGATCTGAGATGAACCTCCATAATTCCCAGCTCTTTTGGGGCTTGAAAAAAGGGGTACCATGATTTCGACCACCTGACCTGTGACCTGCGAGTTGTCACCGAGCCGGGTGGTTCGATCAAGCCTTTAAGAAGCATTAATCACCATAAACCATGGCCAGGTGATGATTACCATTTATGGTTGGGATTTTCCATGGCTATGTTAGTCATAACTAGATGGTATATCCCATAGTCTATGAGTATATTCCATTCAACTCCTACCTTGCCCATTGTTCCATGGCTATGTTAGTCATAACCAGATGGTACCCTCTGGTAAATAAACAATTGGACCCTGAAAATCACCAATTTTTCATGAAAACTAGTCTTCCAACCCCGATGACTGCCAGGGTCTATGTTAATTTACCAGAGGGTAATATCCACTCAGAATTCCTATCCACTTTTCATCTGGCCATAGATGGCCATAGATATTTTGTAGAGATGTTTGGAGCTGGAGCTTTTCTTGTAACAGGGAGGCTGAAAGCCGACTGCAGCAGTGCCAGGAATTTGGCCCACCTACAAGCAGCGTGTGTCGCGGCTGTGGGACTGGCTGGCCGAAGATGCGAATTTGCTCCGCAAGGTGTGGAGAACCCGAGCATCCCACTGGGGCGTCCGGTTTGATGTGGTGATGGCTGTAAGACAATGCCATTTTTACCAGCCATGACTGGGAATGGGTTGTATATACCACATTATATATATATACATTAATTGATGGTGATGACTGGGGGATGGTTTATGACATTGTTTTACCCACATTATACCCCAAACGGGCAAGTGTCTGATGGGGAAAATGAGGATCAACGAGATTTTGGGATACCTATTTTCACGCAAAACTGCATGGATTGGCTTATACAACAAATGACCATTCATTGATGATATTTGGTGAGACTTTTTGGTGGGTTAAATGGGCTTCCAACAGTGTTTGCCTCATATTCGTATCCTCGTACCCTTCAAAAGTCAGGTGAAATTATGATATAGTCTCCTTTGTACGTTGTAGCTATAGCTCATCAGCTAATTGAGAGCCCGCACATAATTTGAGCCCCATTTGTAATTACAACATATTACAACTCCATCAACAATGTATGACACTCAATTGGACTCAATTGTAATGATACTCTCATTTTCATGATGAACCATTGATGCAGCAACCCCCACTTGTAAGTATGGAAAACAACATGAATCATTCCATGGTTTTGACATGTGATATATGCTAATCATGCATCATATCTCCTTGTAAGATTATAACATCTTATAGCATCATATATTTTAATCCCTAATATGTAAGACACCTTTCACCAGACCTCTTCCATGGTTTGCCCATGTTGCCCGCAGAATTTCAATCCAGGCTTCCATGTTGGACGAAGACGACTTCCGGGAGAAGTCGACCCGCGACGTGATGGACAACTTTGCCCGAAAGCACCTGGAGGAGTTGTTGGATTCGCGGGCTGGGAACGTTGGAAGTGTGACTGGGCTGGGTTGATGTTGGGCTGATATTGGATGGGAGTGGCTAAGACGTGGCTGACCTGGATGGTTTTGAGATGTTTTGATGAATTTGATGTGCGATTTCATCTCTGGATAAGAAACCAATGGATCCATCGTGGATCAATCGTGGATCCATCCATGGTTTCCGCCAGTGGGATGTTCTGCCAGTGATTCGCGGACCTACTAAGTAGGATTTTTCGGCTCGGTGAGTGAAGGAACATGAGCTAAGTGTAGTCGATGAACATGTCATCCCAAAACACTTTCATCTCATGGTCATCTCATATAGAGTTATTGGCCACTGAAATTCAGTGCATATGTTTGTGACCTTGAATTCGTAACTCGGTACGTACCATTTGACGCACAGCGAGGTAAAGATGCTTGAGAAGAAGGAGATCGGCAAATGGAAAGGCATGGAAAATACCACGGATTCTGCCAGATTTTCTGCCAGATTTTCTGATCATTTCCCCATGGTCATAATGGTTTTCCGCTGTGGAATCTACCGAACTTCATGGTGCCTGGGGAAAATTGACGTGAGGCCGCATCTACGAAGCGCCTGAGAGGAACCAAAGAAAGTTGCTCTGGCCGCAGCTGAAGGGAGTTGGCTGTTGGGGCTTAAGGCTTAAACGTGATGGGATGAGGCCAATCATTCGGAGTATGTAAACCCGCATTCGGATGAGTATCTCCAAAACATAGAAAATACCCTCTGGTAATTTAACGTAGCTATTGGAAATGGCCATTTATAGTGGATTTTCCCATTAAAAATGGTGATTTTCCATAGTTATGTTAGTTTACCGGAGGGTATCTCCAAAACATAGAAAATATCAGACATATCAGAAGAAAAATAACTGTTGCATACTGTTTTCCATTGATTTCCCATGATATCCATCGAAATGATGGTTGCCACATCCCAACTCGGAGGTCCATGTTCTGACGAACTGGGCATCGTGAACCCCCAACTCGCCCTGTAGCGCATATTCCATTCATAATATTATAATATCACACTGGATTCCTGCAATGGGATACCCTCTGGTAAACTAACATAACTATGGAAAATCACCATTTATCCCATGATATTACTGCAAGCGCGGGCTCCTTTTTTATTGCACACATGGGATGATTAGTTGAGATGATCAGCTGACCGTCTCAGTGAACTTGGAGTTCAAGATCGCATACGTTGCACGGCTTCGTTTAGGTATTTTAGTACTGGGAAGGGAGTGCACTTTGTAAACTAAATATAAACTATATGTGCTCAATGTGCTCCATCACCTGCCACAAGTCGTATTTTTTCTACAGGAACCCAAGGTTCTTCAACCACAGGTCCAACCACCAAGCGCCTTAGCGCTCGAGGTTCCAGCAAGTGCGAAAAGATGTGACTGGGTAGCCATGTGTGTTTGCCAGAGATGTGAGGACTTTGCTGTGAGGATGTCAAAAACATTCAAAAACACTATCTATGCCAACCCACCATTGGGTCATCTTATGCTTCTGATGAATATCAATTATTTGGCTACATTATAGCGAAGGGGAATCACAAAAATCACAAAAAATCAATGAATTTCAGATTTCGAAATCAACATGATATTATTATGGTGTTTCTCAGAAACAGCAGTTTTTACAGAGGAAAAACGGTCAGGTTTGGAGGCCGAGGATTTAGTTGGGAACATCTTAGATTTCGATCATCTTGGCACATACCTTGATGATTTCTTGATGAGAAAGAACATCACCCAACTTCTCAGCTCAGCTACATTTTCACATATTTTCACATGGTAAACGAAAACAGGTAAAAGAAATGTAGATCCGTGAGGGAAATCATCCCAGACATGATTTATTTAACATTCTTTCACCACCATTTTACTATATCATTTTACACATATTTCCACAGGTTTTTGAATTTCTACCGGAGGCTGTTACCTTTGTACATCTCAGTTCCTTTGTTTTCCGAGGTCCTTTATGCCTTCGAGATGGAAGCGCGCAGCTTTGCCAGCTCCATGACCAAACAACTTCTCAGTGGAAGCATGAAGGATGCGGAAGTTGCATTGAAGGCCTTGGACGCCTGCAGATTGTTGCTTCGGCCCAAATTCTTGGGAGGGCTGGGTAGATCCCAAAAAGATCAACGGAAAAGTATGAGAGAAAATAGGAGATTGATATAATTTAGCATATGTGTATATACATCATTATTCATATATAATATATACATATGAGATAATATATATATATTGTATAATATATATATATTGTATAATATATATATATATTGTATAATATATATACATGTATACACTATATATATAATGTTATATATAATATTATATATATAATATTATATATATATGATATTATATATATATATCATATATATATATATATATGTAATTCAATATTCTATATAGATAGATGGGATTTTGTGATCTTTTCTTGCAACAAAAAATGCTGCTTCGAGGTCGCTGCACTCCATGTCGCACGAGGAACGTGCCAAATGGGCCTCGGTGATTTGCACCCGCGAAGTGGGACCCCAAGGAGGGCTGACCGGATCCAACGGATCCAACGGATCCGTGGTGTTTTGTTTTCCACGGCCCATTGAAGGATCAAGCATGGGTTATTAATGGTGGTTAGTGATGGTTAATGATGGTTAATGATGGTTAATGATGGATATAATGATGGATATAATGATGGTTAATGATGGATATAATGATGGTTAATGATGATTAATGATAGGTAACTATATATTCAATATATACCAGGACTGCTGGTTCGTGGTTTGGAACATTTTTATGACTTTCCATATATTGGGAATAATAATCCCAACTGACTAATATTTTTCAGAGGGGTTGAAACCACCTACCAAATAATATATGATAACATATGACATGTGACAATATAGCCCACTTCCAAGGTATAGCCAGTGCCACCGTCCAAATAAGAAACTTCTTCCCTGAGAGGATCACAACAAAGTCATGGGGCCTCATCAGCTGTTACACTCCAGCAATCTAATATAGACACCTCTACAAAAGCCTGTATATATATATTATAGATATTCATCAACCTATTATGTAATAACTACCATGATGGCTGGAAAAATCAAATATATCATTCTTACAATCTTTGGAAACACGGTGATTTACTAGAAAGAAACATTGTGACATTCCTCTGAATATACAGTCTAAACATATGTTCTGGTTGGTGGTTTCAAACATTTTAATTATTTTCCATAATATATGGGACAACCCCTCCGACTAATATGTTTCAAGATGGGTAAAACCACCAACCAGTGTTTTTCCCAGTCTTGTCCGTATTTTCTCATGAAAAACCCATGGTGATTTCCTCACCACAGGGGACCTGGAAAAAACCAGGACAAGTCCTCAGCGTGGAGATCTTGCGATGGGCATGGAAGCGCCACTTGGGATGGTTTTCTCTGGGATGGATGGGCGGTTTCTACCAACAAACAATATATGCATAAATATATGGATAATAATGATTGGTTGGTTGTTTTCTGGTTCCTATAATTCGTGTTTTTGTGTTCGCTGTTTGATTCCCCACCTGCCAGGTGAGGGTTGTTAGATTTTATGTCAGTTGCCTCCTCCTGCCTCCTCCTGACTCCTGCCTCGTCCTCCTCCTCCTCCTCCTCCTCCTCCTCGTCCTCCTCGTCCTCCTTGTCATCCTTGTCGTCCTTGTCGTCCTCGTCGTCCTCGTCGTCCTCGTCGTCCTCGTCCAACTGCGACCCGCGATCCACAGTGTTCTCTGCCGGACCTCAACCACGACCATCCACGCCCAGTGTTCCCTGCCGGACCTCAACCACGACCAGCCACGCCCAGTGTTCCCTGCCCTCAACCACGACCATCCACGCCCAGTGTTCCCTGCCGGACCTCAACCGCGAGTATCCACGCCAAGTGTTCCCTGCCGGACCTCATGTAGGAAGATATGGGACAAAGAATGTGCAGAAGAAAGTTAGAAAGAATGTCAGAAAGAATGTCAGAAGATATGCCAGAAGATATGCCAGATAGATATGCAGAAGATATGCCAGAAGATATGCCAGATAGAATGCCAGATAATATGCCAGAAGATATGCCAGATAGAATGCCAGATAGAATGCCAGAAGATTTGCCAGATAGAATGCCAGAAAATATGCCAGAAGATATGCCAGATAGATATGCCAGAAGATATGCCAGAAGATATGCCAGAAGATATGCCAGAAGATATGTCAGAATATATGCCAGAAGATATGTCAGATAGAATGCCAGAAGATATGTCAGAATATATGCCAGAAGATATGCCAGATAGAATGCCAGATTGAATGCCAGATAAAATGTCAGATAGAGTGCCAGAAGATATGCCAGATAGAATGCCAGAAGATTTGCCAGATAGAATGCCAGAAGATATGCCAGAAGATATGCCAGATCATATGCCAGAAGATATGCCAGATAGAATGCCAAATAGAATGTCAGAAGATATGTCAGATAGAATGCCAGAAGATTTGCCAGTAAGAAAATGTATAAATGTCATGGTGGGGATCACACGAAGTAAAGTAATTTGTTTTTTGTTTCTTGCTGCCTGATGTCCAAAAATGGCATGACAAATACGGGTAAACCAAATGGTGAGGGATGCATTCATCATCTTGTTGCAGGGTCTGGAAGATTGGTCATGAGTTTCCTGTTGTGTTTTTGAGGTGTTAGACGGTGTTAGAGGTCAATATTATAGGTATTGAGTATGCTCAAATGTATCTTAGCCCTAAGGCGAAGTGATTGAGGTGAAACCTGCATCAGAAGTAAAGTAATGTGAACCACGAACCGTGAATCATACCAATTCATACCAAACATTTGACAACTTGGAGGGTTTCTAAATCTTGACATATGATAATATCGGGTGGAATTCTTAAAAAGTTCACTCCCGGGGTCAGTATACATTTTGGAGTATTTGGAATACCTTGATTTTGCTCCATCACCACGTTTTTGTGGATCTGCCAAGAACGGTTGGATCTCCATGCCTTAAAAGAAGAATTGACCATGACACCAGCAGATCATTCCAATTTCCGGAGACCCAAAACAATTCCGCAAGATCCATCGATTTGCATATTACTTTGCTCAGAGTGGCTGTGGCTTTGGCCATTCAGGACCCCATCTGGGGCCCTTGAATCTCAGTTGAAATTTCAAGACAGTGGAGACTGAGTTTCCAGCCGAGGCCCTGGAACTTTTTTGTTGGTTTTGGTCTCCATAGATCTCCATAGATCTCCACAGATCGCCTAGTTGTTACCCCATCTTTCACCTGTCGGACGATCAAATCATGTGCGATGGATCGCATCCCATCAAAATGGTCACTCATTGGGGATGGGTTCTGCTGGGTTCTGCCACGTTATTCGTGGTTTTCTTACCACCCCTTAAACAGATACTGCAGATAGTTTGACACTATAGTTCAATATGATTTGTAGCAACCCTTCAAACAAAAAGTAAAACTCCTACTTTAAATCTAGTTGGAACTTCAACATATCGTTTTTGGGAGTTTGCCTTGCCCCAATCTTTTCATGGAAGCCAATCAGCCGCTCGTCCTCGCGCCTGAGGTCTTAGAGAGCTGAGAGACGACGAGGTCTCGCCAGAGTTGGGACAGGCCCGGGTGCTGCAGGTGTTGGAGGCGGCTGAAAGCGCAGCAGCTTGGAAGCCATGGAAGATCATGGAAGACTCGATTTCAGTTGACCTACCCTTTGGTAAACTAACATAGCGATTGAAAATTACCATTTATAGTGGATTTACCCATTAAAAATGGTGATTTTCCGTAGTTATGTTCGTTTACCAGAGGGTATACCTATTGCATATTGATGGCAAGTCTCGGTGGGTCTGTTTTCCTTTTCACGCAGACCCATTTGTATCCATTTCCAGCTTGGAATCTGAAGATGTTTGGGTAGACTGGGTAGACATCCAAGTGTTTGCTGGTTTCATAGCAGTAGATACCAGTTGCTTGTTGAGAGGTGGCAAAGTCCTGGTTTTTTTTCTTGACATCAGCAAGCTTAGGACGAGCTCACACCGTTTGCGCGGCTCTTGGGCCCTGAGAATGCTGTGCTGGAAGGAGTTTGCGCCGCCACTTGGCAGGGGAGTCAGCAACAAAACATGGGGGATTTGACTCACATATGATGTTATCCATCACAATATGGGATATCCAGCATAATTAATCATTAGATCCATGAGATCCATGATAGATCCATTAGGATTATTCTCCGTCATAATCCGTCATAATGGGATTATATGAATTATGATCCATATAGAATGGGATCATGATCATATCCCATGATATCCAAATATATCCCGCTATCTCCCGATTATGTCTGGCTTCGTACACCCTTTTTTGGACAGGTGACATCTGCCAAGCACATTGCAAGAAGGACCCCATCCCAGTTTTTCTAGAGTCTAGGTTTCAAAGTTAGAAGTTAGAAACCAAATTGCTAATCTCTTATTCGCAGTTACATCCCTCCCATTACATCCCTATTATATCAATTTTATCCCCATTATATGTCCATTACACGCTAATATTTAATGACCATCAACATCAACCGTCCTTCATCAATCATAGCCCTACACATGTTTGCTTTTCTTTGCTGTATTCCCCATTGTATTACAAATATGAATATCACAAGTTACTGCTATTCATCACGAATTAAACTTGGTGGCTCATGCCAGTTAGTGGGTAGGGTTAGTCCAGTTGTAGGGTGAACTAATCCATTGCCTAACTTGGGTGAAGCAGCAAGTCATTCCGCAATCATCAGAATCCCCAGCCATATCTCCATTCTCGATGGTTTTATTAGGGCCATCCCAACTTATGGGCCTTGTTCCCATGGTTGTATCATGTTCCATCATGTTATATCCATTGATTATGACCCGCCCCGCCCCCTGAGTTGGTTCCCCCATGTTTTGGGAAGGCGAACCCATGCTGATTGGTGGTTTGGAACATTTTCTATTTTCCATAATATATGGCATGTCATCCTTCCCATTGACTTTCATATTTTTCAAGATGGTTATTGCACATGTTAAAACCACCAACCAGCATGGGAAAACACCCATCTTTTCATATCTTTTTCTTCAGACCCAGGCCGTGGACAACGTGATCCAATTCGGCCGTCTCTTTTTCCTCCGGCAGCGCATGTGGGATGCGCAGCCCGAGATCACCCTGGAACTGGCGAAGCTGCTGCTGGAGCCGCACCGTTGGACCCAAATGGAAGAAATGGGGGGTGAGTTTTGGGAAAATCGTGGGCATCTTGGCTGAAAGTTGATGTTCTATCTGGTGGAATATTTTGTGGAAAGTAGACCAAGGTCGAGATTTCATCTGATTTCTATCTGTTTTAGGTGGGATATCACCTGGGATTTTTCCGAGAACAAGCGGGGATTCAACCAGGCGTCTCGTGACAGTCCTTGGGCTGCCACTCGGCCCATTTTTATACTGGTCATTGATCGTATCCTATTGTCATCTATGATAGGTACTGTCCGAAATGGCGTCCTCAGATGGCCATTTTGATATGGATACCCTCTGGTAAACTAACATAGCTGTTGAAAATCACCATTTTTAGTGGGTAAATCAACTATAAATGGCCATTTTCAATAGCTGACTGTTGAATTACCAGAGGGTAATGACTAACACCAAGGCAATTGAGGGCTACCCCATTTTCGGAGAACCACATGCTAAATCATCCGCGTTGCGTCGAAGATTTTTGACAGTGCCCCATTTTTTGGCCTTGAGTTGCGTTGGGTGGAGTTGGGATGAACCTCTAACCAAACAAGGCTGGCTGGAAACCCACGATTGGAACAGAATCTACTGTATGTGAACGGATATATGTTTTTGAACTTTTTGATGCACATCAGATTAGACTACAGAAAGTAAGCGGGACCGCCCGCGGTGCAGGTGATGGTAGACAAGAATAAAAGATAGCAGCAACCGAGAATCATGGTTATGGGAGCGAGAAAAAAGAGGCAATGAAAGCAGATAGCAATCAACAAATCAGAGGGATAACAACACAAAGAGGACAGGAAACAATAGTATCAATATAGGTATCAATAGTAGTAACGTTGTATAGAACCAGGCTGGTGGGCAACCGAGTGTCACGACGGTGGGGATCTGGGAGGATATCCCCTCAAGGTGAATGGATTTTTTCCAATGGTGATTCCAGTTGGGGATCCACCGCCAGGAGCACAAGCATTGGCTGTTGCAAAGTCTTGGCACTCGCTTCTGTGCCCAGCTCCTAGATGCTGATCCAGCACGCTATCAGGTCTGTTTCCGCGATCTCACACGAAATCGTTCCGTGGCGCTGACGGGGACATTGGGGGATATAACCGGGGATATTTGGACTTTGTTGGATGAATCTTGGGTGAATTTTGGATGAACTTTGGGTGATTTTTGGGTTTTACCTAGCAACAATTTGGGATTGAACACATCGAAATAGGGGTTTCGAAGATGATTGTCCTGCTTTCGGGATGTGTTTTTGATTTTCAGATACTTGTTGGGCTGAGGAAGATGTAGCTACAGTCGCTACTTTGTGCGGTGCAAACCAGGGTACCAGTGTTTTGATGAATGTGCGTGTATTTGTTTGTTGCATCTTCGTTTTGGGCATGTTTTCAAAAGGGAAATGATTCGCAACCCCCCAAGTCCACCAACAAAGTCAGTTCTTTTCGGAAAGGCAAGGTTTTTGAGATTTTACCCTCCGGAACATAAAGTATGGAAATCACCATTCATAGGTAAATCATGGAACTATATAACTGGGCCATGGCTTACATAGCTATAGTTAGTTTACTGGAGAGTAGAACAATTTCATCTATGTTCCTCTCATGACCACACCTGGCAGGCCCACACTTTGGGTCTGCGGCGACCGGGGCCCTGGGTGGTGTCAGGTGAGAGTCCTCCCTTCGCCTTGATTTTGGCAAGATACCCAGCTGCAATTTCGGCTTATCTGGAGGGTCCCCGATTTCTATGGAGCTTTCCGAAGTTATGGGACCCCCAAATCATCCATTTTAATGGGATTTTCCATTATAAAATGGGATGTTCATGGGATTTTAATGGGATAATCATTATCTAAATTTAAAACGTATGAATTTGAGGTTTCTAGTGGCGCATGCGGAATGCTTGCAGTTAGCTTGACGGAGAGATCGACGGTGAGGTTGACGGGTTCTCTTTTTGTGACGGTGAGGTTGACGGAGAGGTCGACGGTGAGGTTGACGGTCCGTCAAAGTGTCCGTCAAGGTGTCCGTCACGACAAAATAAGGCTTATTTTAATAAAATACGGCTTATTTTGGACGAAATAAGGCTTATTTCATCAAAATAAGCCTTATTTTGTCGTGGCGGGCACCTTGACGGACACTTTGACGCACCGTCAACTTCTCCGTCGACCTTTCCGTCAAACTCACCGTCATGAAACACGGATCCGTCAAACTCACCGTCAAGGTCACCGTCACATGCAACCGTCAAGGTTTTGAGGTGTGACTAGAGCATACGTTTCAAATTTAGTTAAGATAATCATCAATTTTAATGGGATAATCAGACCATTCTAGTAGTGAAACTGATGGTTTGGGGGATAATTACACCGCGAACCGGGAGACCCCCCCGAATAATAGTTATAAGATGTTATAAGATGTTCTAATCCCTCAAGCATGTTTTCTTTCCAACTCCACAATTATGACTTCGAATCGGCCTAGAAGGGTCACTTTACCACCAGCGTGGCCACATCGCCGGCGTTTCATGGAAATCAACCATGGTGTGCAGAAAAAAAACCTTGAATCTGTCGGGTGGATTTCCCAGCAATCGCCATGTTTGAATATGTTTGAGGGTTTTGATTTTTGTATCATTTTGTATCATCATTGTTATCTACAATCCCAAGTTAATTAATTAAGTTAGTGTGTCTCAAGAATCCCATCATATCCCAATGGTTGTAGGATTATATCCCCACTTTTGGAGGTTAAACTCCATTATAGCCAACATCCCCCAACTTATGGAAGTTATAATCATAGTTATACCATGTTATACTATAGTTATAGCCACTACTGTATGTAATATATATATATATATACACAGTATATACCTGGTTGCTGGTTTGGAACATGAATTTTATTTTTCCATATATATATATATATTGGGAATAATCATCCCAACTGACTAATATTTTTCAGAGGTGTTGAAACCACCAACCAGATACATAACATATAGAATAGCCCCAGTCCTGCACCCCCCGGTACAGTAACGCCGGGGCACCAAGGAGCGCTTCTGAACGTGGCCGGGCCCGTTTTTGGTCCCGCGGCAGTGGACTTCGAAAAAGACCAGGAGGTGGAGGCCCTGTGGAAAGGCCACGGGCTTCGGAGGAAGACCTGGTGACCCAGCATTTTTTAAAGGAATTCTATAGGGCATCTAGATGGAGGAAATATGAATATGAACATCTAAAACATGAAAGATGAAGAACTTGGGATTCGTAAAGTTCTAATGACATATGAAGAAATTAGATGAACTTGGGATTTATGAAGTCAATATAGCATCATTATATAGGTATCATTATAAATACATATTATTATACATATATACATATCATTATCATTGTAGCATCATGTAATTACGAAGGCAGTGTCATTTTCCCTGGGGATGCTTTTTCAGTATGTTTAAGTCATGAAGGGGAGAGTTGCTGGTTCAAACCATGAACAAATAGATGATAGATGGATCAAAATGGGGTTGTATGTCTCGATACAATCAAGAACTTGGGGATACTTATGGCGACTGACGGGATACAATGGGGTATACCAATATCTATTTTTATAAGCATCAACCATGAATGGAGGTTGAGAATTATGGTGATAGAATTAGGTAGGACCAATATCTATTTGGTAGATATAAACTCACCAAACATGGGTTGTAATCATCAACAGGCCTGGGGAAAGGACAGGTGTACGTGGAGACAATGGCAAATTTCGGGTTGGTGCTTTCTAATTTCAAACATGTCCTCCCAGTTTCCAGATGTTTTTTGGACCACCGACAAAGAAAGATGTTGGCCCTCACGGTAATACCGGTCCTGAGTGATTTTGTTATAGGGAAAGAAAAAAAGTCAAAGTTGGTAAACACATTTAAAAGCATGTTGGTATAATCCCCATGTTTGTTGCTGGTGAACTCATTCCACCTGTTTTTCAGTCAGTCTCTCTGGTTGGTGTCTCCATCTGGGGATGATGAAGCTACCAGGTGAGTGGTATTCTGCGCGGTTCCTGAAGCACGACTTGGAGCGTCATGAGATTGAGATCGAATGGAAAACTCAGGAGACACCAAGGGAAACTGTGGGGGTCAACCCGAGAGATGGGAAACTGATTCAAACAATGCAATGTTCTCCATACGGCTTATCCTCCATCCACCAACGGAAGGTCGTGAAGGTTAATGCTGTAGGGGTCACCAAAATGGTGATGATCAGGGTGGTGATGCAGTGAAGGAAGGGTCCAACCCGTAGTCCCTGGTTTGATGGAAGGGAACCTTTGCAGTACCCTCCAGTAAACTAACATAGCTATGCAACATGGATTCAAAGATTTTCCACATGTTCCATGGCGTTATTTGACCAGAGGATTAACCATGGGGATATCACCAAACACTGAGATTTTCTGCAAGTCAATCACGATTGAAAGGGCACCATTTGAAGCCCTGATTGGTTACATCTTAAACACATATGGGGGGTTCCTGGAATGGGGGTACCCCAAAATGGATGGTTTATAATGGAACATCTTACTAAAATGGATGATTTGGGGGTACCCCTATTTTTAGGAAGCCACCATAACATACCCTTAGAATTGATTCACATCGCTTTCCCTATGGGTAAAACAATGCCATAAACCACCCATGACTGGGAATGGTAACCATACCACCTATAAAAATGGTGATGACTGGGGGATGGTTTATGACATTGTTTTACCCACATTATTTGGGATGATAATGACCAACAAATGGTTGGTCAATGGGATTGTTTACTATTGGGTTTACCACAGTAAATGGGATGTCGACCAACAATATATGTTAGCAATATTAGGGGATTTGTTCATGGGATATATAATTTTTGCAACCAGCCATTAATATTACCCTCTGGTCATTTAACATAGCTATTGAAAATCACCATTTTTAATGGGAAAATCCACTATTTCAATGGTCATTTTCCACTATTAAACATCGTTTACAGGGGCACATCGTTTGGGTAAACCAGGTTGAAGCCTCCGAGCGGAGACAGTGGTGCTGTGAAGGCCTTCGGTGAGGTCAATGTGGGAGAAAAAATCGGTATTTTGTGACCACCAAAATGGATCAAAATGGTGGTTCAATACATTTATATAATTGCTAAAAAAGCACACACATATGTATGTGATATGTATGTATATTTATAGATAATATAATATAATATAACATAATATAGTACAATATAATATAATATACTGTATATAATATAATATACTGTATATAATATATATATAATATAATATATAATATATATAATATAATATATAATATATATAATATAATATATAATATAATATAATATAATATATAATATATATAATATAATATATAATATATATAATATAATATAATATAATATAATATAATATATATATATAACATAATAATAATATAATATTTATATATATATATATATATTGTGGAAATGGGTTGGAGTCTAGAATCGAACATATCCAAAAATCCACCAACATGGATAGCGTGAGACTCAACAGGACCAACCATTTTTGCTCGTCCACTGGTTCAATCAGATCCACCTGACCACCCACTGGTGCGTTGATGAAGTCCGGCTTTCTGAAGTGAGGCCTGGAAGAGACCTCACATGCACAATATATATATATTATATCTTACATACTGTTCAAATTACGTATATATCATCTTAGATACTGTATATACATATATATATATGTATATAATCCCAATTTGTAGTGGTCATATCTCCGTGATTCTTGCGCTCTTCTTGTTGCTGTTCATTTTTGGCAAAGTCCAAAGGTTGGGTGCGATCACTGCGAGCCAAGAAAGACCCAGGCTCAGGCAGGGTTTGTTGGGGAAACTTGCCGCGCGGCCGGGGCGTATGGACATCTGCCAGCTATTTTCACGACCCAGTTGACCTGGAGTGGGTAGTTGGTGGGGGGATAAACTCACTTTTTGCAGACTTTACGTCAGTGACATTGGTAAAACATGTGACTTACCCACCTGGGGGATGGTTTATTACATATCACCTAATACTCACCGACTCAAACCCTGCAAAGCATTTTTTCGACCCCCAGGACTTGGTGCCGATCGTCGAGGATCAAAACCCGGTATTTACATAGAAGTGAACTGGAAAATCACCTTTCTGAATATTTCTATGGTGATTTTCCATACAAAAACATTTCACATACTACAAAAAGTGAATAGGTAAATGAACTATTTCTATGACCATTTTGAAAATCGCAAGCTGTTTTTTTCATCACCTTTCTATCCGCGGAGAAAATCCCAGCGACAAAAACTTCCAGCTATCGCAAATGGGATTTCCCAGCCATGGAAGACTAGGTACAGCCATGGATTTCTAGGTACCCGGCCTGGTAAACGAACAGTTAGCGACATAGAAAATGGATAAATGGCCATTGAAATAGTGGATTTACCCATTAAAAATGGGTGGATTTTCCATAGCTATGGTAGTTTACCAGAGGGTACATTCTGGATCTATGCTGCGAGGCTATGACTATTGGAAATGGCTCCGTGATCGATACTTGTCATGGAATCCTGGAAGTGGGGAAGACATCACCATGCTGGTTCCATACTGTTCCATACTCTTCCATTGTTTTTGGGACTACAACATTAAAATGTACAATGTGCATTACATTTCCAAGAATTCAAAATATGTGAAATATGTGTGTTACAGATCAAACCACTAGTGAAACCATCAATTAACATGGAATTTTCTATGTGCTGTGAGCAACAAACATTGGAATTGTCAGCAGCAAACATGGGCATGTAATGTGACCAACAAAAACATGTCCTGCAGACTTTGCGAACGGAAAGCCGAAAAGTCACCGTGACCTTCCCCTCAATTTGCCTGAAAAACTTTAGGTCTAGGGGTTCCCTAAAAGATAAATACATTTTTGCTAGGATGTGTTTCTTGGATTGACATTTATTTAAATCAGAATCTCACATAATTTCCAGGTTTCACCTACTTTGGGGATGCTGTGCAATGATAGCACTGGAGTTGTTCTTGTGGACGAACCTGCTGATTCCAGTTGCCTTTGGGATCTTTCCGACCCGATCTGAGTCAGAAACAGCCACATTTAGAAGCGCTCTCCCTAACATGTTTCGTTCTTGTTAAGCATCAACATCTTCCCATCTTCCCATGATTCTTAGCTATCTCAGGCTATGGTTTGCCCATCCACCAGTGGCCAAGGTGGCTCAGCTAAGGACATTTAGTAGATGCTTCGGCCCTGAGAAAACTTTTAAACCGCGCGCCTGAGCACTGCCTCCATTTGATTCAGGAGCCGCTCGAGCCGCGGTTGCTTCAGGGGCTTGGGATACTGTACTGTATGTATGATACAGTGTATATATATATGTATATATACTCGTATGTAATTCATATACAGGTAAATTATATTAAATTATATACTACAATACAGTAAATTATGATATAGTACAAGACAGTATAATATGACATAGTATAATATCATATAATATTGTATAGTATAATACACTACAGTATGATGTAATATACAGTAAAACATAATATAATATATGTATATATATATACGTAGTATAATCTAATATGTATTGAAATAAAATATTATATATGTATAGTATAGCATAGCACAATACAATATAACATAATGTTGTATAATGTAATATAATGCAATACAATGGAATATGATATACTGCGATATGATGTGATATGATGTAATATAATGCAATAGTATGTATTATATATACGTACTGTAATAATGTAACATAATGTGATTGTCGTATAATTTCGCATAATGTGATACATGTAATATAGTGTGATATAAATTTGTGTCGTATATATAATATAAACTGATAAAACATATAATGTCATATGCGGCAATACTATGCACATAAAATACTAATACTATATAATACTACTAATAATAACAATATATACAGGCATATATATATACACATGTAATATTATGTGAGTGGTGTGTATTTTGATGCAATTATTTTGAGACTGTTGTATTTGTGATATGTATAGAGAACATGCGTACAGATAACAGTATATTGTACCCCACGAAAACGTATGGTTAAAACTGTTGGGAATTCAGCGACAACCAGGATTTTTCATGGACATTTAATCTTGGAACCATGGAAGCAACAATAATATAGAGCCTAATGAGCTGACCGGTTAAGTTGGGACACAGCCAGGAAGCATCATCAGGTAAATGCCGCTCTATTTTTTCCCCCCAGAAGCAGACATAAATATGTTCCTTCTTGTGTCTAATGGAGGGTTTATTTTCAGAGGGGACTAGTATGGATTTGTCTGAAAATAGGGCATACCATTATAACCCATTATAATCCATTATATACTTGCACCGGTAAATATGAACACATTTATGAATGATCAATGGGTGGTGGAAGAATCCAGCATTTGCAGACACACTCGGATAATATATTGGGTATATATATGCCCAGTTTATATATCCCCCTTACATGCCCATAAAAGCACCATTGTCTTCCCGTCATATCCCAATCAAGGAAAACACTTATTTATTATTGCGACCACCATATCCCAATTATTAAACAACCTGATTCCTTAAACATCATATCCCAAGTAATCAAAACCTTACTGAGATTAGTCATTAGATACTGTATGGCTAAATCATGACTATTATTATTATACTAAATTAAATATGGTTGTATCTCCATTATCTAATGACTACCATTATCTAATGACAATCTGAAATTTCTATTTGGAGGTTTCCTAGGTCATGGGGCACCCCTGAATCATCCATTTATTCATAGGATCTTCCATGAAACCATCCAGCTATTGGGGTACCCCCATGGATAACCCCCATGGCTCAAAGCCGCTGTTCTTTCGAGCAGGAGCCCAGGCTAGTCGAATCCCTTCGCTCCCTGCTGCATCAAGCGCTGCATCGTGGACTGCTTCACTTGTCGGCAGAG